TGTAGTATGTATGGACTGAACATGAAGCAGTATTTAGAGCATATCTTTCACTCCAGAAGTCCAATTGACATGACTTTTAGAGCCATTAAAAAGTTAAGAGATACGGATAAACCTTTCATATCTACCATTTTGTCCAGCTTGAATCATATTGAAGTGAACATCGCATTGGATGATGCTCGACGAATGCAGTTCTGTGCAAGGCAGCATGGTGACTGAGGCCATGGCATTGAGCTACTCATGGCCGCGACATTGAAGGAACCACCGCAGCAGTGTTGGAACTTTGTGACAACAATGTTGGGCTAAATGGGTGCATCATACAAAAATTCGAGAGCATGGTGCCATGGTGTTGAAGAAGTAGTGTTGCGACACTACTAAAGTCTATCATGGCATAGTGGCGCCAAGAAATCAATGTTGTGGTGCTACCCCAAAGTTCCAAAAATAAAATTTTGACATAATTTTAGAAATTAGGTTACTTGGAGCCTATTTAAAAAACCTTTTTCAGAGGTTTAAAGAGGGAGGCAGCAAGCAACTATTTTAGAGATTGAGAGCTAAGAAAACAAAAGAATTTGAGAGAGAATTGAGATCATAAAGCTTCAATAATTAGTTTCTTTCTCTACTTTTCTGTTTTTCTTATTTTCTTTGACATGGATTCATGGCTAAATTTCTTTGGATATTGTTTTTATTAGATATTATGAGCTAAAGTATTCTTCTAGGATTATGGTGGATTTCAACATGTCGTTTAAATATTAGTTTCTCTTTTATTTATAATGAGTGGGTGTAGTTTTGCTTATTCAAATATGTTCTTAATGCTTTTGATTGCTTGGCCAACAATTAATTGGATTTGTGAATCTAATTGAGACTCAATAGAAAGATTTTAGATCAGACTAAGATTTGAATAGTGTATGTTCACGTCACTTAGGTGATCTGATTCACGATGCAGGTAAACACACACCAATTGCTATACTTAGCCACATTAGGATACTTACTTAATGAACTTAATTTAATTGATTCCTATAAACATATAGTGAACTAATTAAGTTATGTATTTGTACAAGCAACTCGATAGAGACTTTTCTATAGCTTTGGATTCTAGGCTTGTGAAACCACCCAGAAAAGATAAATAACAAGAAAAGTTAGTACCAGATGAAATGTTGAATGAACCCATAATCCTAGGTTTTTAATATACTGCTTTTCTCAACTTATTTAGTTTATTAATTTATTTAGTGTTGATTTTTAATTTTGTCTTTGATTAGTTTTTTAATATTCGATTTACTTAAATAAAATTAATTTGATATATAATTTTAGTATTTAGTGAAACTTTAGAAACAAATCTTTATGGGAACAATAATCTAGACTTACTGTCTATATTATTTGTTCGATATGTGTACTTGTATGTGCAAAATCGACAACAATACATTCTTGGTAAGAAGAACAATAAGAGGTGTTCTATGAATTTTCTATCAACACATTCAAGATTATATTGATAGATTTGAAGAAAAGGAATATTCTGTGGACTTGTATCGATAGATCTCTCAATCTATCGAAACATTTTACTTGATTTCTATCGATACATTACCTCATGTATAGGTAAATTTGAAGGAAATTCATGAAAATGTATCAATATATTTACAAATGTATCCATATATGCCTAGGTATTTGCAAAAATAAAAAAGGTTTTGTGTTGTCCACCCATTTTTTTTAAAAAAAAAGGAAACGCTCCCCACTCTTTGTCTTAAAAAAATTCTAGACCCCAAGTGGAATTTAGAGCTCATTTTAAGTGGATCCAAGCTTAGAAAACCACTATTAAGGTAAGATTATAGCTTTTTACCAATTGATTTTTGATTTAATTAATTTATAACTTTGAAATATAATTGCTCCAACTTTGGTGTAACTTTCCCTTAAGTTTGTTGGGAATTTTGAGCTGAGATTGAGCAACCCAATATTAAAGGTAAGAATTTAAGCCTTTAAACTTAATATTTGAAACCTAGGTCTTCATAACTTTGAGTACTGGAGCTAAACCTAGTTTGAAATGCTAGGAACTTACACAAGCTAAGAAATAATTATTATTTGAATTGTTCAAATGGAAAATAAAGCTCTTAGCTCGTTAGTGAGCTAAAATGTCGTTGGAGGCAAGAAAGGTGGATTTGTTAGGGAATTGCCTTCATTTGTCACTATGAGTGGAGTTTATTATTTGAATAAATGCATGTGATGCATGATGCATTGTTAAATGTGCTACCATAGTACCTAAATGATATATATATATATACACACTGCCTAGATGGATGTGACTAGTCTAGTTAAATGATTATATGTGATTCTGTGTGTGTGCCTTAAGGTAAGCCACCTAATGGCACCTGTTTCAGCCTATACTAGGAGGTCTAGCACATTTGACGATGTGAAATTATGATGAAGAATGTTTAGAAGTATTTACTCTAGACAAATAGCCTCTTGAAGGATTATGAGTGTTTGATGCCTTGAAAGATCAAGGGAACTTATAAATGATATTGCTCTAATTTAGTGATAGAAGCTCATTAAGTATAACCTATTGATGTGGAACGATATATATGTGGCATCAAACACATGATGGCCTTAATTGTGGATCTGTATTTTGTCCGATGATGAGAAATTTTGAGCATTGATTTTATTTGAGGTTGAGTGACATCCTATCGCTGTGATCTATTCTCTGTTGGATGTTTCGACTTCGAACGTGATCTGATTCTCTATCGGTTCCTTCGATGCCACGTGTGATTTGACTTTGTCGGTTGGCCACACTACATGATTTGATGATGTCCAAGAAAGACCTCTCAATGATTATGATCTGAATGATGAGTAATATGCTATAGCAATTTGATCATGTGATTATTCAAAAAATAAATGGATATGATTAGTATATGATGACATAACTTCGAATAAATAGTTATGGGTTTGAATTTGATACTAATCTTTGGCAACTAGGGTGTGCCTATAGAGACTAACCTTGTAATGGCTTCTAGAGTAAGCTAGTTTGATATGCACTATTTATGGAGACATAATGGCATAAATGTGATCTATAAGATTTGAAGAATACCTTGTTGGGATGATTCGATATATGCCCCCAATGTGGAGATGTTGTTAGAATATTTTGTTTGCATTGAGAATGAATATATATATATATATATATATATTTGTTTATCTACATTATTATATTTGGTTTATATGCATTCCCTCATTGAGTTTTAGATGACTCACCCATTTCTTTGTACCATGTGCAAATAAATAGGTCACAGGATTGCATGGCCAGCTTTGTCTCTAAACGAATAATTTTGGCATCCGATAGGCATTCTTGGTATGATATGTCCACTCTTCTAAGTCCTATTTTTGGTCCTTCTGCTTCTAGTTTAGTTTTCGGCGTATGTTTCATTTTGGAATACATAAGCAATGTATTGCCAATGTTTTGATTAAGGGTTGTAAGTGCAAATCCATTATGTTAGCTAACGTATGGCTTGTGAATATTATGTATGAATTATATGCTAAGGGGCAACTTATATGTATTTGAACTTGAATTAGTTATAAATATGTTTGATGTGAAACCATTGGCTATTTGGTATATGATTAGAAGTGATTTAAATATTTTAGGCTTACTTGGGTCTCGCTGGCCTTTCTTGCTTGACTCATGCATCGATCGCAGCTCTCCAATTTGAGTCATGGTAATACCCGTTTAGGTCCTTGCAGCGGTCTTAATCTTTCCAAAAAATGGAATGTAACATATATCTTTTAGAGGGTCGATGTCTCTACGTTGGTTTTAATGGGTTCCTAGTATAGAGCTCCCAAAGTTCAAATGCAATTACGAGTTTTATAGTCTATTAATTAGTACAAACTTAGCAATCTAACGATTTAATAGAGTGGCAGGATGACTTCACCATGTGTGAGTGGGAGTTGTTAGATATTTTAAGATACACTCATGACGGTCTTCTTATTTCGATAGGACTATCCTGAACCATTTTATCTTGGTAAATTAAGAATTATTGTATGATAATTATCTAGTGGTTTAAAGTTACCAAACTACCGAATAAAAGGGGCTTATAAATCTGCATGAGGCATTTCACCAAAATAACAATTATAGTTAGTTAGAAAAATAACGTGAAAACAAAACTCTCCTTTTCCTAAAGAAAAACCACTCTCCCTCTATTGTCAGGCCAAGGTTTTTGTACTGTGAAAGGTGTGGTTTCTACTCAATTTTGTAGTAGTTTTCCACTACAAGTTTTTAGAGATTAATAGGCTCGTAAAACATTTTATGATAAGATCATGAAGTCACTCTATATTAGTCTTGAGAAGATAAAAGATTGGTACGCACAAATTTTATCTGAAAAATGATTATTTTTTATTTTTCTAATATGTAATTTTTCTTACATCATGTTTTGATAATGGGTAATTACACTTACATTTTAAATGGTTTCGGCTTTTTTTTTTACATAAAACTTGTGATTTTTTTCTCGTTAATTTTATCCATAGTAAAATTATGAAAACATTGTTAAGTGTGAACAAATAAGACGCTTCCTAAATTGATGATATTTTAGTAATTTTAATTGGTGAAACTAATAAGATAACCAGTACCGGAACAAAATCTAATCATAGGGTGGAAAAAAAAATCGCAACATACTACGTGAAGTTTACTCATAGATAACTTTATATCTTTGCCTTTATTTACAAAATTTTATTATAATATCCCTTGATTGATCTATTCACATTCTGATTTTACAGCTTTGTTGTGTTATATCTTAATTTTTCTTCTTTAATGGAGAGGATCTATATGCGAAGAAAGGGATTGGATATAAAGATGATTACAGAGGGCAATGTACTATGATGCAAAACAATAGTGTAATGGAGTTCTCTTCGCATGTTAAAGAGAGGGACTAATAATCACTTCAATATTAACTTTGGTAAAAAGGAAAAGGCACTAAAATCTACTATTGCAATACTGCATTGATTAACTGAATGTAAAAATTAAAACTGGAGACAAATCAATCCAAATTAAAGGTGTTTAAAACAGCTTTTATCCTTTGAACTGTAGAGCTGATTAGAGTATTCACAGTTGCAACCGATTGCACGCTTGGCTCCATTGACGATGAAGGGCTGCAGGCCATTATCTGGAAGGCTACTGTAAGAAGTGAACCACTAGACCTGGAAGAGTTTGCACCAACTCCGAGCTCAGAACGACCGTCACCTGTGATTATGAAACCTGACGGAAGTATGGGTATGTTTGAAGAATCCCCACCATTTATAGCTGTGTTCATGGCCGCAATTCCCATTGGAGCGTAGACTACCATGGATCCCAGAGACTCTGTGCAACTCATCTCTTGAAGCATCAAGATGTTGCCGGAAGGGACAGAAGGCTGCTTCACAACAGACCATTAACCTTTAGAATTAGACTGGAAATTTATGAACAATACAATTAAAATAATTAAAAGGTAATGATTTATATATGTGTATATTCAATTGTTTGAAAAAATGTGGGCAATATTTCATCTTGTGTATGGATATACAAAAAAGAAGGAAAGGAGAATCTTACCGTAATTATGGATATACAATTCCCTGGAGTATTTCCAGTTGAGATGTTTACTATCTCTTTTACAGGATTTCCATGGCAGAGAACATCCCACTGGTAAATATTGAAAATCAAATGCCATAAATGTAAATAATATAACTAAATATAAGTAGTTAACAAAAAATAATAATGGTTAAATGAAGAAGGTTCATTGCACATATCAACCTGGAATCGCACTTTCTCATCATTGAGCAAGTTAAAGACACTTTGGCATGGTAGCGGAAGCCAAAGAGAGGTAGCAGCACTAACAATCATTCCTCTGGGTTGGCCTGGTTCTATGCTCTGGCGAACAGAAACTCGAACCCCACTATTGTTCTCCTCTGATAATTGAGGGAAATCCAATTCGCCTGACATGTTCAAGATTGAACAAAAGCTTTTGACCATCCTATGGGCAAGCCTCATAATGCTCCTCCTACCTTCTGGTAAACTAATCACTGAATCATGGACAAATAATATAGTGGATAAAAAGCATATATAAAAGAACAACTTTTCTTCAGAAGGATATCTGATAAAGAATACCTCCTCCCAAGTCTTGGATGTGTTCAGTTTCCCCATTTGAGACTGATAATCTCTCACAAATTCTTTGAAGAGTAATAACCCAACGTTCAGCTCCATATGCCGAACTACCACATATGAGGTCTCTGTAGAGACGATGAGTATGTATTTTGTCATCCACTTCCACATGTTCTACCCACGTGACCTACAATTTATGCATTCAGTCAAATTATTACACATATTTCCCGTTGAGATAATCCATTTAAGAAAACGCATTTCAGTAATCCTTTTTTTTTATCAGTGGAAAGGGGATTCGAACTTGGCTTTGAATAGAGAAATACATACCTATCTTTGAATCAAATGCTCATGTCTGCTTGAGAAAGCATTTAAATGATTGGAAGGAACATGAAAATCATGGCAACTACACACACAAGCTATATTTGTGATAATCACAGAGCAAGCATTTAATTTTGAATGAGATATGCACATTTATTTTGTTTCTGATAGAGCATGAATACAACTTGCAATTAGTAAGCTAACATGGGGTGTGGTTAATTCTACTGGAATTCAGAATGACACGTGCATTCTTTTTTCGTGTACATTTTAGTCTTATGAGGCACAATCCTGCTTTATCAGAAATCTCTTTCAAAAATGTTATGCAACTAAATATTATGAAGCGTAGATGCTACAGCGATAGAAAAACTCACCTTCGAGCACCCATTCTGCATTTCTTGAATCATACATCCAGAAGGGAGCTTCCAAGAGTGAGAAGTCTCTTGGAAGAAGAAGTAGGAATAGGAGACATCCACCAGAACCCACAACCCAGTCTCAATTTGTCTGCAATGGCGGAGGAAGTAGAATTCTCGAGGCGCAACAAAAGGAGAAAGGATGTGCATTCCTTCATACATCTGCAGTTTGTAATTGAGATTGTGCAAGCTATTGAAGAAAAAGGCTAAAAAGCAATTAAAAATTAGCAATCATACGGGATTTACCAGTTGTAAGGAACCATCCGTGTTTCCGTCCATTGTTGTTTCAAGTAGTTGAATTGTCTTGGCTTTGGTAACAATTGTTGGAAAAAGATCCACCCACTTATCCTGCAAATTCAAACAGCTAATGCTCAATGATTACATTTCACAACAATTAATTTTCAAGAAGGAAGGTTCTCTCATTGCTTACCGCGTCTAGGAACATATCAACTAGTTGTGCTGCACTCATTGTTACCAATGCTGAATCTTTTGAGGACTCAATTCGAGCACTAGGACTTCTCAAGTGAGTGGCCCTCGGAAATGTTTTTTGGTAGCTTTGGCGTTGAATAAGATACCTTCCATCTGATGGAGACTTGACCCACAAAGGCTCATTCACTTGCAAAAGCCTAATCAACTCATCCATGGCACTGGCAGCAGTTTCAGACATTAGTGCTTTCTCCAGATCCGTAACTCCATTAAACTGGTTAGGCAATGGCATGTTGTCCCAATGTTTCGGATCAAGATAAGTACAAAGGGGCAGCCCTCCCAACCCCTGCGCCGTGAAATTTGCAGGTGGTAAACCCAGTGATGATGTTGGAATAGATATCATTAGTGACTCACTTTGTGAAATTGCTTTCCCTGTATATTTGGCTAGAATGTTGGAGACATTCTCATGCTGCAAGAACGTTTTCCATTACATGTCAGTTGAAAGAAGGCCCCCCTTTTTAAAAACAAGTTGAAATTAATCTAGTATCGAATTCTTGCCTCCTCTTTCAATTGGGCGTTTTCTAGCTTCAATTTTTGCAGGCAACGTTGGCGTTCTTCTTCTCCAATTGGAGGACCACCACAAGCTGGGCAAATCACCATTTTCAATGCCTCTATCATTGCGAAATTTTCACATTTTATCCTTTCATTCTCGGCTCGTAAAGCACAGTTATCAGCCCGTTCATGTTGAGACTAGTAAAGATATGAAAAGATTCAGCCATCCCATATACATTGAGGTGAAAGAACATGACAACACAATTTTTTTTTTTGATTGAAAGAAAGAAGGAAAACAAAAATAGTTATCGCTAATGGTCAATCCACCTTTGTCTGAGTCCTTTTGTTTTGAAACCAAAACTTGATCTGCTTGGGTTCTAGACCAAGTTGATTGCTTAATTGTCGTCGCTGGTTTTCATCTGGGTGAGGGCATTCCTTGAAATATCTTCATTGTAGCAGTAGAAACCCTTGAATTAGTGTTTGATATGAAAAACCAAAGCGTGGTGAAGGTAATGTTTTATAACCACAAACATAATAAGATCAAGATCAGAAGCAAATCTTCAAAGTTTAACAATCAAATATTGTTCTGGACTTCTAGTAATAGAACATGTTACATTTGTTAGAGAATCTCCGAATAGAGAAATTGGATCATGCAGAGGCACAAAATAATAAACTCAAAAAAGGATTCTGGCATGAAAGGGCCGTTTGGACGAAGGGATATAGCATAAATTAATTCACATCAAATAAAGAAAAAGAAAGGTCAATTGAGATCAAAATAAGCAATTTATTAGAATTGCAAGGGAATAGCTGAAAAGTGTGGGATATGATGTAGATGGGTGGTATATGGTCCTTACGCTTCCAGGGTACGAATTTGGTGAGCAGTGTGGCGATGGTACGACTTCTTTCCATTGCAAGAATAGGAGACTTCTTGTTCGTTGCCAGAACTCCCACTACTCCCCATTACAAGATCCATTCTCACTGTCTATACTCTCTGGTTATACCAACAAAACCTATATAATGCATTCTATGGTATGTATATATATACAATCTGTTTTTCTGATATCTTGCTATATATGAAGATAATTAGCATATATATACATAGCTACAATCTTCAGGTCAATTCCAAATAAGGATATCCAGTAAATACCAAAACTAACCCACCCAATTTGGAGAATATCTTTGTTTGGATTTTCTCTTTTCCAATATTGGATTGGAGGATTTATTGTTTTTTTCTGTGAACGTAAAAACCTTGTACTACACTGCCGGATTTAATAGCTAAAACCTTGTGAGAAAAGTAGGCCAAAACTGAGGCCAACAGGATACGCCATAGAGAAAAACTGTGAACTCTCACCTATATACAAGATACTTATAGGCTTAAATACACAGATTTCACTAGTTAATAGAGTTTAAATAGTTAGAACAATATCGTTATTGAATAAGTAATGAACTACATGCACATTTACTTACGTAGATATTATAAAGCTACTACCTTAATAATGAGTTTGATATTGGCTATGATTATTGGGTCCCACGTATCGAAACTAAATTTTCATTAGAATTTGCAAGAATTTTCGCGAGTTTCTTCTCGGCAAATAAGTGTCATAAACTCAGAAAGAAAGTGATATCAAGGAATGAAAGTACTCTAGATGAAAGAAAAAAACAGGGAGGGTAGAAATTGATATAAACAAGGTTCTACATTCATTAATTCAAAACCATATACAATATTTATATTAGTCATGCATGATTAACACCTGTTAAACAGTAAGGCATGAGTTAATACAACCTTCATGCATTACAATACGTCACAAACAGCAACATTTTCAACTTTAATAACTAGTACAATAAAGCAAAGTACATAAACAAGTCCATATGTTGATTCATGCAAGCTTTTAACTTTAGCAGTCCTCCTTAAAGCTTGCATCATAAACACACAACTTGGTTCTCAGAAATTCAAACCTTGGTTTAGGCAGAGTCTTAGTCATGATATCTGCTAGTTGATCCATAGAAGAACAATGTTTTAGGATGACTCGATCATTCATTTTGATAACTCTATATTATATAATTATTTTGTCATTTTTTGAAAATTAAAATCAATCAAGTCTGTGAGTTTTGATTTAAATTTGTGTCATTTTAGTAGCTTATTTTAAGTTTCGTATTAAGTGCTTAGATAAGTTGATTTTAGTTGATTTTACATTGATTAGGTAATTTTTAGTAAGAATAGGAATGTGCTTTCATTGCTTTTAAAGGTGCTCAAACAAACAAGATTGAATTAGAGCAGAAAAACAAAGTTTGGATTCAACACAGAATTTTGGGTGCCACGACAATGGCAGAATGGGCACCATGGCACCTTCAAGAATGAGAACACAACCACAAAAGAGAGAAGTTGGCACTGTGGTGCCATAAGGAAGAAATGAAAAACAAATATATAGCAAAGTGTTAGTATAAGCCCTACAAGCCAATCTGTGGTTGTATGGGAATTGCAATGTTGAGATATTTATGTATGACATTTTGTTATTCGTAATAACATTAAGATAGTTCTTTATCCATAAGTTTGTGATTTAATTACTTTTATAACTTATGTGGATAAAGCCCATAGAACTATATATGCCTTACAAAGAAATTGTATTAGGATATAATTATGAGATCCTTATGCATCAAAGTATTGCTCCTAAAAGTTCTTGATCCTTGTATTATTGAGACAAGGCATCAATAATGCTCAAAGATCGGCACATTTGATGGTCTTTACTTGTGAAGTAAGTAATCATTCTCATAGGTTGAAGTATAGAAATACTTGGAGCTAGCATATGAGTGTTTGCCATGGGAGAGCGAGTTCACTGAACATGACCCACCATGAAAAGTGCATTTGGTACCTCACTCAAGTGTTTTTGCAATATTTCTCATATGTCAGTTGTGTAACAACTCACTGGACTTGAGACACTAGGTTATCTTATATGTGGAGTATTATGCTTTGATTTCCTTCTTATGAGGCCTTAACCAAGGATGCCAAAATAGGATTTTTTAGGTATAATACGAAGTATATGAAGGCAAATGAGTGGTCAAGATAAGAATCATCACCCTAAATGATTCAAGGGGAAATATCTCATTAGTTTTTGGTTGACATTAGCTTAATCAAATCCTTGGTCAAAGTGATTAGGAGATTATGAAATGAGTTTCATAAGTCTCCAAAAAGCTAATAATTTAACTACAGGAACAAATATGGAGGTTAATAAGAGCAAGCACAACACCGAACTCTTATCATCTCTGAGATATATGATGAGGGAATGAATTACACTGAAAGGTTATTAAAGAATCCTATTACTCTCCTAATAATTGGGTGGCCATGATGCATTGCTAGATACCAATCATGGTTTATGAAATTAAATTAGTTAATTTAAAATTGAATATGATTCATTTAAATTAATTAATTAATAATATTATAATTCAATTATATTACTAATATGTTAGAAACTTAATGGGTTACATGCAAAGGTTGCAATTTGGATTAAATTGAGAATGTGATGATTTAAGTTAGACTTAAATCAAAATTTAGGTTTTAACTACTACAGACCTAATTAAAAGAATTTAATTAGGTATTGGTTAATTATTATAATTGTTATAATATTAAAGACATATTTTGTAAATTTTGATAAGTTAAACCTAGATATAAATATCATATTATAGCCACTCTTTTCTATAAAGAGAAAAATAAAAAAAGGAAAAACAAAAGAAAAATAAGGGTTTTTCTTTTGAATGCCGCCACTCTTTAGAAGTTTTTTTTTTTAAAAAACTTCTCTTTTGATTCTTTGCTGAAAATCAAAGAAGAAAAGAGGACAAATCATTGTCCACTTGCTAGCACAAGACTGTGGCATAAAGCTATCTCTTTGAGAAGAATCCATTGCAATAGTGTGTGCAACATTGGTGGCCAAGTGATTAAGTGGTTGGAATTCTTTCATACAAAAAGTATTCAAGTTTTGTCACCAAAAGGAATTCATTTGATTACGATATCACTTGGAAAGGTAAAACTTTTTTCTGATTTTATAATGTGTTTAACTTTGCATTAAACAACTAAGGTGATCCAAAGGTAGGAGGCATGGTTTTTATTTTATTTCAATTTTTTTGTTATTTTGATACGTTGATGCTTTAATCATGCCTTTCCTAGTAGTGGTATCATAGCCTCCCTTGGCTCGTTTTAATGCAAAGGTATGTCTTGTTATTTTTTAATTCTAATTCTAATTGGATGTGAGGTATTTGGAAAAGAGAAAGTAAGTGTTAAATTTCAATTATGTTTTAAAGTAGTTTATCACATATTCGAGTTTTGATTTTTAATACTTATTTGTTTCAGCAACTAATCTTGTTTAAGTGTCTCAATTTTTCAGAACAATATGTGCATGAGATGCCCAAAAAGGTTCGACAAGAAAGGATTTGAATGGGAAACAAGATGAGGTTTAGTGATAGAATTTGATTCTGTCTAGATATGCATATAGTTCGATTTTCAATTTTTAACAAGGGCCTAAAAGCCTCTAAAAATTCTGAAAATATTTGGAAGTAATCTACATTGAAAGTGTTTCAATATGATTAGCAGCTAAAAAAGGTTAAGGAAAGGCCATGAAATCATGGTTGAAATCGTTGCTGCTAATAGTAGTTTCAGGTCACAGTTCTGGCTAAGAAGTCATCTTCAAAAAGTCCTAAAATCATGCAATTGTTGTACCTTTTTGGATAAATTTTGAACCTTGAATATGTTCAAAAGATTCCTAGAACGATTACTAAAGTTAAGGGATTTTTGCCATCATAATGCCACATATGCAACCCAAAAACAACAGCTATGTACATAATACATGGGCTACGTTTCTTGGGGGTTTTGAGAAGATAAATCAAGTCCAAAAATTAACAAATTTTAATATGGAAAGGTTCCATATGTTAACTAATCATTATTAAAATTTAGGAATTAAATTCCCTGATTTGGTGCCACATCAAGCCACAAAATGTGACTGCTGCAATGTTGCCAAAATTTTGTGAAGTCATGGTTTTTGGGATTTTAGTGTCCATATTTGCAGCCTAAATTGGTGTAATTCAAAACACTAATTCGCTAAACAATATCTTATGGAAAAGTTCTAGAAAGATAAATTTTGATATATTTAAATTACGAAATTTGATTCCTCAAAATAGGGATATTAGAATATAATTAATCACATCCATAAATTTAGGAATTTGATTCCTACAAATATGGAAGTGTGATAAATATGGACAAGATAAATATCATGAATTAAAATCCTTCTTTTAAAAAGTGAAATTTGAATAGGACACTTAAATATAATTAAAGATAATGTTGTCTTAAATATTATATTTAAATTATATAATTAGATTAGATAATTGAAGACACATAATTTTTTATTTAAAAAGATTACTAAAAATTACTTAAAATGTTTAAAGATTACAAATTAAAAATGTTTTAATTTGTAATAATATTTTAATTCTAATCCTAATGAGATGAGGAATGGATAATATTACTAGTACTGATTAGTAAAGACTTTCCATATATGGAAAACTATTTTCATACGTGGAAATAAAAAATGAACTCGAAATTAGTTGCACAATAATTTCGGATGCCTCATATGATTAACATTTAGAATAAGACATAGTTTTAATTTTATGTTCATATGGATAGATGAATATGGATGATTATGGACTAGGCCTAAAATGATTGTAGATGTAAGGTTAAATTTTATCATGGCATTTATTTATTAAATTGGGTCTGCGTACCTTGCCTTTCTCTTGATTTTCAGATATTGTAAAATTCTTTAGTCATCTAACTCCCCTCGGATGTACCACAAGGTTTTTTTACTAAAATGTAATTAGTTACATATAAGTGTAGAATTAGGATTAGTTTAGAAGTTATTTTACAATTTGAAGATGAAGACTTAAAAATGCCATGAAGATACAAGGAGGAAGATTACAATATGTTGTACATTATCT